GTCTTGTGTACTCACTCCAGTATCTGTTACAGTAGAGTCGACTTGTCTGTACTCACAGTATCCAGTCGATCTGTACTCACTCCAGTACAGTAGAGTCGACTTGTCTGTACTCACTCCAGTATCTGTTACAGTAGCATCGACTTGTCTGTACTCACTCCAGTATCTGTTACAGTAGAGTCGACTTGTCTGTACTCACTCCAGTATCTGTGTACAGTAGAGTAGCGTCGACTTGTCTGTACTCACTCCAGTATCTGTTACAGTAGAGTCGACTTGTCTGTACTCACTCCAGTATCTGTTACAGTAGAGTCGACTTGTCTGTACTCACTCCAGTATCTGTTACAGTAGCAGTCGACTTGTCTGTACTCACTCCAGTCTGTTACAGTAGCATCGACTTGTCTGTACTCACTCCAGTATCTGTTACAGTAGCATCGACTTGTCTGTACTCACTCCAGTATCTGTTACAGTAGCATCGACTTGTCTGTACTCACTCCAGTATCTGTTACAGTAGCGTCGACTTGTCTGTACTCACTCCAGTATCTGTTACAGTAGAGTCGACTTGTCTGTACTCACTCCAGTATCTGTTACAGTAGCATCGACTTGTCTGTACTCACTCCAGTATCTGTTACAGTAGAGTCGACTTGTCTGTACTCACTCCAGTATCTGTTACAGTAGAGTCGACTTGTCTGTACTCACTCCAGTATCTGTTACAGTAGAGTCGACTTGTCTGTACTCACTCCAGTATCTGTTACAGTAGAGTCGACTTGTCTGTACTCACTCCAGTATCTGTTACAGTAGAGTCGACTTGTCTGTACTCACTCCAGTATCTGTTACAGTAGAGTCGACTTGTCTGTACTCACTCCAGTATCTGTTACAGTAGAGTCGACTTGTCTGTACTCACTCCAGTATCTGTTACAGTAGCATCGACTTGTCTGTACTCACTCCAGTATCTGTTACAGTAGAGTCGACTTGTCTGTACTCACTCCAGTATCTGTTACAGTAGCATCGACTTGTCTGTACTCACTCCAGTATCTGTTACAGTAGCATCGACTTGTCTGTACTCACTCCAGTATCTGTTACAGTAGAGTCGACTTGTCTGTACTCACTCCAGTATCTGTTACAGTCGACTTGTCTGTACTCACTCCAGTATCTGTACAGTAGAGTCGACTTGTCTGTACTCACTCCAGTATCTGTTACAGTAGAGTCGACTTGTCTGTACTCACTCCAGTATCTGTTACAGTAGAGTCGACTTGTCTGTACTCCAGTATCTGTTACAGTATCTGTTACAGTAGCAGTCGACTTGTCTGTACTCACTCCAGTATCTGTTACAGTAGAGTCGACTTGTCTGTACTCACTCCAGTATCTGTTACAGTAGAGTCGACTTGTCTGTACTCACTCCAGTATCTGTTACAGTAGAGTCGACTTGTCTGTACTCACTCCAGTATCTGTTACAGTAGCATCGACTTGTCTGTACTCACTCCAGTATCTGTTACAGTAGAGTCGACTTGTCTGTACTCACTCCAGTATCTGTTACAGTAGAGTCGACTTGTCTGTACTCACTCCAGTATCTGTTACAGTAGAGTCGACTTGTCTGTACTCACTCCAGTATCTGTTACAGTAGAGTCGACTTGTCTGTACTCAACTCAGTATCTGTTACAGTAGAGTCGACTTGTCTGTACTCACTCCAGTATCTGTTACAGTAGAGTCGACGACTTGTCTGTACTCACTCCAGTATCTGTTACAGTAGAGTCGACTTGTCTGTACTCACTCCAGTATCTGTTACAGTAGAGTCGACTTGTCTGTACTCACTCCAGTATCTGTTACAGTAGAGTCGACTTGTCTGTACTCACTCCAGTATCTGTTACAGTAGAGTCGACTTGTCTGTACTCACTCCAGTATCTGTTACAGTAGAGTCGACTTGTCTGTACTCACACAGTATCTGTTACAGTAGAGTCGACTGTCTGTACTCACTCCAGTATCTGTTACAGTAGAGTCGACTTGTCTGTACTCTGTATCTGTTACAGTAGAGTCGACTTGTCTGTACTCACTCCAGTATCTGTTACAGTAGAGTCGACACTTGTCTGTACTCACTCCAGTATCTGTTACAGTAGAGTCGACTGTCTGTACTCACTCCAGTATCTGTTACAGTAGAGTCGACTTGTACTCACTCCAGATCCAGTATCTGTTACAGTAGAGTCGACACTTGTCTGTACTCACTCCAGTATCTGTTACAGTAGAGTCGACACTTGTCTGTACTCACTCCAGTATCTGTTACAGTAGAGTCGACACTTGTCTGTACTCACTCCAGTATCTGTTACAGTAGAGTCGACACTTGTCTGTACTCACTCCAGTATCTGTTACAGTAGAGTCGACACTTGTCTGTACTCACTCCAGTATCTGTTACAGTAGAGTCGACACTTGTCTGTACTCACTCCAGTATCTGTTACAGTAGAGTCGACTTGTCAGTATCTGTTTACAGTAGAGTCGACTTGTCTGTACTCACTCCAGTATCTGTTACAGTAGAGTCGACTTGTCTGTACTCACTCCAGTATCTGTTACAGTAGATCGACACTTGTCTGTACTCACTCCAGTATCTGTTACAGTAGAGTCGACACTTGTCTGTACTCACTCCAGTATCTGTTACAGTAGAGTCGACACTTGTCTGTACTCACTCCAGTATCTGTTACAGTAGAGTCGACACTTGTCTGTACTCACTCCAGTATCTGTTACAGTAGAGTCGACACTTGTCTGTACTCACTCCAGTATCTGTTACAGTAGAGTCGACACTTGTCTGTACTCACTCCAGTATCTGTTACAGTAGAGTCGACACTTGTCTGTACTCACTCCAGTATCTGTTACAGTAGAGTCGACACTTGTCTGTACTCACTCCAGTATCTGTTACAGTAGAGTCGACACTTGTCTGTACTCACTCCAGTATCTGTTACAGTAGAGTCGACACTTGTCTGTACTCACTCCAGTATCTGTTACAGTAGAGTCGACACTTGTCTGTACTCACTCCAGTATCTGTTACAGTAGAGTCGACACTTGTCTGTACTCACTCCAGTATCTGTTACAGTAGAGTCGACACTTGTCAGTACTCACTCCAGTATCTCTACAGAGAGTCGACATTTCACTCCTCTCAGTAGAGTCGACCTTGCTGTTCTTGGTTTTGGTATCCACTGCAGAATTATACTTCTAAACAGCCATGACTGCAGCTAAGTATCTGTTACAGTAGAGTGTCTTCTCACTCCAGTATCTGGTGCAGAGTGGCAAGCATCTCTTCAGAGGTCCTGGGTAGTTAGCATTCTTTAAATATTTTTTCCCCAGGTTATGCTGGTGTGCTGGGAAATGAGCATGCAGATAGACTCCGGTTCTGCACCACCTATTGGTGAATTGTGGTGAATTAATGTATGACAAACTAGATGTTGTAAAGACCTTTGGGAGTGAGTGATCTGGTACCCATTTCCTAGAGGCTGGGTGAATCCCAGGAACCGCCTGGTTTCGAACACTGGTCGTAGGCTGCAGCGAGTTGCAGCTGAACTTGAAAGCAAGTCTCCTATCGACTGCGCTAAGGTGGCCTCAGTTATGGCAGTGTCTCAAGTTCTTAGCAGTGTCTCAACATTTGACTTAACTACATTTTCAGACTAGATGTTGTGGCATCATATAGTAGTAGGATACACGGTAATCTAGTGTGAGAATTGAGGTAGAGGCAGTCACAGCAGCTTTCTGCTGGCTTAATAACCAGCGGCACACACATGTGATAATATAACAAACTCACAAAGCATGCTAAGAAAGGCATGCTCTGTGCAGAGTGGCAAGCGTCGCATCAAAAGTCCTGGGTGGTTAACGTTATTTAGATCATGTCATCATGGTCTGCAGGTGTGTTGTGTAATGAACTTTGCTGGCACTATGCCACTGCACGGTGAACTGATGCATGACAAGCTAGATGTTATCAAGAACTTTTGTGAGCAAGTGAATAATGCAGAAGCATGAATAGATAGATCATCATTGCCTGGAGTGAATGATGCAGCATGGAGTGACCAGGGGATCCAGCCCATAGATCCATCCCCCCCCCCCTTTTCAAATAATTTTTAGGGAGCTGAGCCTCCCCTTTTCCCCAAACACACACATCATCATATAAAGAGAAGAAAAAAAAAGCCACATTATAATCACTCAGCACAGAATTACCCAAACACACAATTTCAAGGCTTGAACATTTGGGACCCCAATTATAATCTTACTGGAGATTCAACAGGGTAATCTTTTATAGAGGCCTTAGCTCCTCCCTCCCCACCCAGGATTAATTTTACCAGGCTGTTTATATTTTGATGATGGATCAACATCCTGGCACAAGGGTAGTAACCCATAAGTGCTCCTTTCTACTTATGACTCAATCCTGAGTCCGAAGAATCTCAGCACAATGCACAAACTCCGTAGCACCGGCAAGGGTCCTAAAATACTTTTGGGTAGAACTCCAGATTTTGCTCGGGAAGCGCTACTTTTTCGATTTCCATCTGTCAAGGTATTTTTAACGTGCACAACAATACACACGGGCATCCGATCTTACTACCCAGAGATCAGAGGAAATTACTAGGGACTCAATGGGATTTGTTTAAGGTGCACAGTAATAATAATGCAATATTTATAACAGTAATCATCTTCATTATCATTACTGCGCAGACTAGTATTCGGCCCTCCCTACTCCTAGACAAGGAGAGAGGGAGTTGAAAGCCTTCCCCACCCCTTAAGTGTTTCCCCTCTGTGGCTGGCACGCCTGATCTAGCCAGCATTCTATACTCCTAGGAAAGGCTACACGGTCTTATAATCAGACTGCTACTGGTACCAGCGCAATTGCAACTCTGCGCTGGCTGCTGAAGATGTGGACAGAGCGCACGGTGATGTCCGGAGTGTTATGATGTCGGTTCTTGGCTCGGCTCACCGCTCAACTACTTTGACAAAAAAGCTGGCAGCATAAATTCGTCATCGGCCGCTTCCGGTGAACAATGGCGGCCGGAGAGGAGCTGATGGCTCTGATCGACAGGGAGATTCCTGACGGCAGGAAGAGCCTGCAGGAAAATTATATGAACCTGGAGAATGTCGCTAAATACTGCGAGACTAATTATCTCAGGGTAAGCAAGATGATTCTGGATAAACAACTAAAGATTTCTAATATATTATATTATAAACGGAGGCTGACAGTGACTGATCCGGTTCCGCATTGAAAAATACTAATATAATATACTATACTACTACTAAAATTTAAAATGTTAAAATGAAGCAACGGGGAGAGGTAATTCACTGTCTCACTCACAGTGAGTCCAGTTGAGTATACGCTGTATAATAATTCGGTAGGACTGATCCCTTTTGGTGTTATACAAAACACTTGAATATATCCAGGCACTGACACAAACAGGGGGGGGGGGGGGGATGTCAATGAGAGCCTACTACTTTCAATAACAAAATTGAGGAGAGGGGTTATTAGGAGGATTTAACCTTGTTAAGTGTGTAATAATAAAAAGAATGTGATGATTTAAAAATAAAAATAATATATTTAAAATGATATAAAATGTATAAAGTATATATATATATATATATATATATATATATATATATATATATATATATATATATATATATATATATAGGAGAACCTCAGGACAGAGTGGTGGTGTGTGTAGAAAGGGGGGGGGGTAAAACCTTCATTACCTCTTTTAGTCCCAGAGGGTTTAGCATCACAGGCCTAAGGGGTAGTCAAAAGAGACATAACATTGGCGCATTATGCGTTTATTGGGCTTCTAGGCAGTAACCTATGAACGTATGATGTGTTCCTTGGGACTCAAAGAGTTAACAATATCTAGGTAAGGAGCTGACGCCAATTTTTTGAAAGAAGGCTAAAGAGGCCTGATCCCCACATATGTATCGGCACCTCTGGGTACCATTAGTGAGTTGAGACGACTAAGAATCTTTATAACCAGCAGCTCTCAATAATGAGGTTACAAATAGTTTTTGCAAAGGCTCCCACTTCCACCTGTGGCATTTGGGCATATTGTCGTAGATTGTTTTTAAAATTGACTTTGGCACCCCATTCAACCCTTTGGCGCCCCATTCAACCCTTTGGCACCCCATTCAACCCTTTGGTGCCCCATTCAACCCTTTGGCACCCCATTCAACCCTTTGGCGCCCCATTCAACCCTTTGGCACCCCATTCAACCCTTTGGTGCCCCATTCAACCCTTTGGCACCCCATTCAACCTTTTGGCGCCCCATTCAACCCTTTGGTGCCCCATTCAACCCTTTGGTGCCCCATTCAACCCTTTGGTGCCCCATTCAACCCTTTGGCGCCCCATTCAACCCTTTGGCGCCCATATCAGCCCAGCTCTAAATGGCTAGCAGGCAAAGTCCTGAGAAGTAAATGTGGCTGATGTGTTGACCACATGGCTCACCTAGTGCTGATTGGTATATAAAATATTTCTAGCGCTACATGCCCACTGGTATAAAAAGGATCATTAACCTTTAACCTTTTAATTGATTCACAATTTCTTTTCGACAGGCAAGTACAGCAGAGAAGGCACATGCTCTGCAGGAAACCAAAAATTATACCACACACTCTCTGGCCAGTGTGGCATATCAGATCAACAATTTGGCAACAAATTTCTTGAAACTCCTGGACTTGCAGCAGAGCCAGCTGACAGATATGGAATCCAGCGTCAACCATCTAAACCAGGTAATCTTCTGCATCTGAAAGTCTCTTTGATTGTCATCATTTATTGGGTTTATTTTAAAAGTTACCAGCCATTTGAGGCTTTCATTTGGAGCTAATTCCTTCTTTTTAATCCAAGGGTTCTATTGTGTATTCTCATAGTTTGGTCACATTCCGAGAGATGATGAAACAGCAGAGACAGACTAAGAGAGCGAGAGTACTTCAAAGCAGATTTCTGTAGGAGGAGGAAGGCACAGATGAGGGGCAACTTTGATACATCTGGAGTTATATCCAGTTACCCAGTTCCTATTCAGTCAGAAAAATGGAGGTGACGGAAGACATTCCTGCCACACTCTTGAGAATATTTCAGACACATACCTCCTGTCCTGCCACACTCCTGTCCTGCCATACTCCTAGGGATATTTCAGACACACATACCTCCTGTCCTGCCACACTCCTGTCCTGCCACACTCCTGTCCTGCCACACTCCTGTCCTGCCACACTCCTGTCCTGCCACACTCCTGTCCTGCCACACTCCTGGGGATATTTCAGACACACATACCTCCTGTCCTGCCACACTCCTGTCCTGCCACACTCCTGGCTGCCACACTCCTGGGGATATTTCAGACACACATACCTCCTGTCCTGCCACACTCCTGGGGATATTTCACACACACACACACACCTCCTGTCCTGCCACACTCTTGGGCATATTTCAGACACACATGCCTCCTGTCCTGCCACACTCCTGGGGATATTTCACACACACACACACCTCCTGTCCTGCCACACTCCTGTCCTGCCACACTCCTGTCCTGCCACACTCTTGAGAATATTTCAGACACACACACCTCCTGTCCTGCCACACTCCTGGGCATATTTCAGACACACACACCTCCTGTCCTGCCACACTCCTGGGCATATTTCAGACACACACACCTCCTGTCCTGCCACACTCCTGGGCATATTTCAGACACACATACCTCCTGTCCTGCAACACTCTTGAGAATATTTCAGACACACATACCTCCTGTCCTGCCATACTCCTGGGCATATTTCAGACACACATACCTCCTGTCCTGCCACACTCCTGGGCATATTTTAGACACACACACCTCCTGTCCTGCCACACTCCTGGGCATATTTCAGACACACATACCTCCTGTCCTGCCACACTCCTGGGCATATTTCAGACACACACACCTCCTGTCCTGCCACACTCCTGGGGATATTTCAGACACACACACCTCCTGTCCTGTCACACTCCTGGAGATATTTCAGACACACATACCTCCTGTCCTGCCACACTCCTGGGGAAACAAGAAGAGAACTACTGCTTCCCTAACAAGCACGTGTTGTAAGAGTTGACTAATGAGGCATTTCATTCAAAGTTGCAGTGCATCTGCCATAAAGAAAAAGAACCAGCAGTCTGCATATAAATAAGCCAGATGTGTAAAATGATTGTGCACACAAAACTCAAGTTCTGGAACAAGACAGAAATCCATAAGTGGACAAACAACCAGAACTTTCTGCTAGACTTTACAGCTGGTGAATGGGAAGTAGAAGAAGAGATGAGGACTGTCAAAGACTAAGGAAGGCAGTGCCAGCTTGTCAAATGTAATAGTTCAGTGCAGTGTACTTTGTCATAATGAGTGAATTGTATATGTTTTTTCTCCTTAAATTTGCACACTGTTTAGATTGTGATGATTCACAAAGAAAAAGTTGCACGGCGAGAGATTGGTGTTTTGACGGCTGGAAGGAAAGTCCCTCGTCCCCTTGGCATGAAAAATGGCATCATCTACCCAGAACAGACAGAACGACCCATTAAATATACTAGGAAGTCTATCGACTATAACGTTCTGGATGATATCGGACATGGAGTTCGGGTAAGTGCTGTGTGTTTTTATGTTAATCACTTTGTGATACAGCTTGAAATCATTGACAGTTTGAGGAGATTTTTTTGTCTGTAGGGTGAATTACTTTTCTACTGAACACGTGAACTCCTGGCTTAAAGAAGAACATGCTGTAGCTTCAAGATGTTCTCATTGAACATCCATGATTTCAACTGTAGCTTCAAGATGTTCTCATTTGTCTTACATGATTCAGCTGTAGCTTCATGATGTTCTCATTGAACATCCATGATTTCAGCTGTAGCTTCAAGATGTTCTTATTGAACATCCATGATTTCAGCTGTAGCTTCAAGATGTTCTCATTGAACATCCATGATTTCAGCTGTAGCTTCAAGATGTTCTCATTGAACATCCATGGTTTCAGCTGTAGCTTCAAGATGTTCTCATTGAACATCCATGGTTTCAGCTGTAGCTTCAAGATGTTCTCATTGAACATCCATGGTTTCAGCTGTAACTTTAGGATGTTCTCATTGAACATCCATGGTTTCAGCTGTAGCTTCAAGATGTTCTCATTGAACATCCATGATTTCAGCTGTAGCTTCAAGATGTTCTCATTGAACATCCATGATTTCAGCTGTAGCTTCAAGATGTTCTCATTGAACATCCATGATTTCAGCTGTAGCTTCAAGATGTTCTCATTTGTCTTACATGATTCAGCTGTAGCTTCAAGATGTTCTCATTTAACATCCATGATTTCAGCTGTAGCTTCAAGATGTTCTCATTTGTCATACATGATTTCAGCTGTAGCTTCAAGATGTTCTCATTGAACATCCAAGATTTCAGCCGAGTTTTCATCATTAAAACATTCATTGTCAAAGGATGTGTAATTTTGATTGGATCTTTCCTTTGAACAATTCTGGCTTCTTTTCACATTTGGCACAGCATACTTTTTGTGAATATTTTTGATATTTGTAACTACATATTTTTCTTGGCTGTTAGTTTAATATACATTTTAGCCATAAATGGCTTGTTAAAATGTTAACATGTCATCATTTATATTGACGACACATTTTTGCTTGACTTAATACACATTTACATTTGTATAATTTTTGTGTAATTTGCTTGTAGTTAATTAATGTATGAAAAATATCTTTTCTGTGAAATAGAGTTTCTGTTTTAACAACATTTCCTGTTTAAAAATTTTCTCAGGCTGTAGTATAGTAAATGCTTATCTGCAAACAAAACTGTCAACTGAATCTGAAAGAAGTGACTTGTTTCTGTTGTTTCTAATTTGCTTCTGTTTATTGTATATTTAGATTTAACATTTGTTGAAGGGAGGTGTTTGTGAGTTTGAGTACTGGTTTGGTTTTTTCTTGTTTAGTTGGGTGGGCGGGTCTTTGGTGGGGTAGAAGATCACTGGAAGTTAAGCAGACACCCCATAGATGAATTGTCAGCAGCAGACATGAAACAAAGCAAGTAATGCTACCAGGCGTATAGAAAATATCATGTAGGTTCCCACAAAATTTATCTTTCAAACTCTTAGTGTATCTGCTCGATAACCGTTTTAAAATCAGCTTGAGAATGAAAAACCCCAAAATTCTACACACTGATTACCAGAAATTATTTGTAGATATACTGGGATTGGATACAAGTATATTTGACTAAATTTTTACTAGTTTCATTTACTTCATTTACTAAAACTGCTCTTAGTATAATATCATACATTTGGAGTGTTTCATTTTTAGACAGTTCAGTGGTGCATTCTATACTCGGTATGAACATAATTCTGTCTCTGGGTTACCATATACTCAAACAGCTTCTTGGTAAATTATTTCCAGGTTTAAAACGTACAAGTATAGATGCTAGGGTTTTAAAGGTAACTTTTAAAATGAAAATTCTGGACAAAGTGAAACAAAGTCAGAAAATTAACAGCTCTCTGTTGTCAGTGCTTGGCAACTTTTTGTGAAATGTAAACCCAGTGTGTATCCAGCAGTATTATGAACTGGATCATTGTTCATTATTCAGCTGCATGAAACCTTCATATATCTTAGGTAGTAGAGGCATTGAAGAATGTAGATTTTAATATTTATTTCTTGAGCTCACAGACATCTCCCCACATAAAGTTTTTCGTAGAGCAGTTAGTCACAAATTCTACAAGTTGTGCCTTGTTGATTTTCACATGTGTGATTTTGCTCAGCAACAAGCAACTACTCCGAGAACAGCCCGCAGTCCATCAGTTAGCAGCACTCACAGCAACAGCAGCAACAGCAACAACAACCAGGCGCCAACAGCTAAACCTCCAACTCCACCCGTATACAGGGCAGCTTCGGGTGGTGGCACCATTGGCAGATCTGCAGGTGGCCATTATCGTTCGCTAGGACCTCCTGTAGCACCACCTGTGGCTCCTGCGGCACCTCAGCTGCAGGGTAATTTTATGCATCCTCAGTCTGGCAGATCTTCGTCTGTATCTTCTGGGGGATCATACTCTCCTTCAAACACGCTGGTCATGGGTCAGATCCATTCACCACCCATGCATGGGATGGGTCAGTCCATGCCAGCAGTGATGGGGTATAATCCATCTCCAAGCACGCTTCAAAATATGACACGCTCTTCGAATCCTTCACTCATGCATCCTGAAGCCAAGGGTAATTCAGCTTTTACTTACATTATTGCAAAATCTGGCCACTTTCTCATAATATATTTTATGAAATTTATTTTCTTGAAGGGTATGTTAAATGAGTTAAAAAAAAAAGTAATAATTTTGTGTTTAATTTATCTTAAATTATAAACTTGTTCGTATTGGTTTAGCTTTTGTAGGTGGACAATCTGATGTGAGCTGCAGAAAGCAAAGGATAGATTAAGTTGGTTGAGAACCTGCATTGGGGGATAAAAGACAGAAGATTGATAAAAGCCTAACATTCTGAATAATCAGACAGCAGCCAAAGAAAAAGAAAATAAGTAAACTTAAACGGTTAAAAGTATATTTCTGTTTGTTTGTATGAGCAATTGGAATGGTTGTCAAAGTATTTTGAATTCAAATGAAATTAAATTCAACATTGTTTCAGAAAATATAATCAAAATTAAATAATTAATTTTCAATTACTTGAAGTATAAATCTTAATTTTGAGGATTTACATGGCTTCAGTTCAGTATAATCTTGCTCCTAGTTGACCTTATGATGAAATAGATACAGTAGTTTACATGCATGTATATATTCTTGTTGGTCACACTTATATGCAACTTTTAGATGCCATACATGTCATAAACACATGCACATATTTCCTTTCAATCTCTGACAACAAGAAACTTAATGTTACTAGATTCTGCCAGGTTTTCCAGTGTAATTAATGCTGTTTGTTCAAAAAGTCTCCACTCTAAAGAGGTAGGAAGAAAATTGTACCCGCATCAGCCACAGCCACAGATTTCTGATCATCGCAGATAGTCAGTCTTCTGTGGATTTTGCTTTAAAATGGCTCCGTTTACGAACAAGGGCAGGCTAGTCAGTTGTAATCTTCTTTTTGGACAGAGTTGTCATTACTAAAATCTTTAGTGTATGATTCATCTCTTTAAGTGGAGTACAGTCCATCTCTTAAAGTGGAGTGCAATCCATCTCTTATAGTGGAGTATGATCCATCTCTTATAGTGGAGTGCAATCCATCTCTTTAAGTGGAGTGCAATCCATCTCTTAAAGTGGAGTATGTTCCATCTCTTATAGTGGAGTATGATCCATCTCTTATAGTGGAGTATGATCCATCTCTTAAAGTGGAGTGCAATCCATCTCTTAAAGTGGAGTGCAATCCATCTCTTATAGTGGAGTATGATCCATCTCTTATAGTGGAGTATGATCCATCTCTTATAGTGGAGTATGATCCATCTCTTATAGTGGAGTATGATCCATCTCTTATAGTGGAGTGCAATTCATCTCTTATAGTGGAGTGCAATCCATCTCTTATAGTGGAGTATGTTCCATCTCTTATAGTGGAGTATGTTCCATCTCTTATAGTGGAGTATGATCCATCTCTTATAGTGGAGTATGATCCATCTCTTATAGTGGAGTATGATCCATCTCTTATAGTGGAGTATGATCCATCTCTTATAGTGGAGTGCAATTCATCTCTTATAGTGGAGTGCAATCCATCTCTTATAGTGGAGTGCAATCCATCTCTTATAGTGGAGTATGATCCATCTCTTATAGTGGAGTGCAATCCATCTCTTATAGTGGAGTATGATCCATCTCTTATAGTGGAGTATGTTCCATCTCTTATAGTGGAGTATGATCCATCTCTTATAGTGGAGTATGATCCATCTCTTATAGTGGAGTATGATCCATCTCTTATAGTGGAGTATGATCCATCTCTTATAGTGGAGTGCAATTCATCTCTTATAGTGGAGTGCAATCCATCTCTTATAGTGGAGTGCAATCCATCTCTTATAGTGGAGTATGGTCCATCTCTTATAGTGGAGTGCAATCCATCTCTTATGGTGGAGTGCAATCCATCTCTTATGGTGGAGTGCAATTCATCTCTTATGGTGGAGTGCAATCCATCTTTTATAGTGAAATATGAAACATCTCCTAATGTTGAGTACGATACATCTCTAACGAAAATATGATCCTTCTCTTAAAGGGAACTTTCACCAAAGGAAAGCAGTTATCATTGCTTGATTTGTTCTCATTGTCTTTGCCTCTTTCCTTTTGCGTTTTCTGACCTTCCGTTGGATTGAATGAATCTTGCTACTGATGTTGTGTGGGACAGGAGCGCAGTGTTGTTAGATGAGATCATCAGGTGCTACTGATGTTGTGTGGGACAGGAGCGCAGTGTTGTCAGCGGAGATCATCAGGTGCTACTGATGTTGTGTAGGACAGGAGCGCAGTGTTGTCAGCGGAGATCATCAGGTGCTACTGATGTTGTGTGGGACGAGCGCAGTGTTGTCAGCGGAGATCATCAGGATGCTTGGTCAGAGTTCATTGAATTCAGTGGTGGTGGTGGTGGTAGCTGTTGTTGCCTTCACAATCCAGTCTCAGCTCACTGAGAATGCTAAAGGGGACCAGAAATTTGTCACACATAGAAAGGATTGCCTCATTAATTGCCTTGCCAGACAGGGGTTTGAGACAGACAGCTTCCAGATTACTGCGAGGTTAACTCCTTATCTTTCTTTCTGTGGTCTGCCATTACTATTTCTATCTATTCCAGATCTGCTTTTAGAGCCTCTGTTTCATTGACAGCTTCAGAATCACGCCGCCTAGAATTGCTAGCAACCAGTATCGCACATTTCAAACAACATCATGCGTAGGAGAATGGGTTTAGTTTTAATTCAGAAAAATATTATTATTGACTTCACTGCAGTTTAACAGCACAAAATAGTCAGGGCTTGAAACACAATTTTATCTAGCACTTTGACATAGTGAATATAGATTTGCACATTTTTCCTTTTTCATTCCATGATCCTACAGTTGCTTATGCTCGGAATAGTTCTAACCGAGGCCAGAACTGGATTGGTAAGATTTTTTATTTTTACCTAAACTTGTTCTTATTGTCGCCATACATTTTGTCACTCTGTTCCCCAAGGTCAGCTGTCGGTGATTTTCCCAAATCCCAAGGACATTGTAAAAGTAATTGCTTTGTACTCATAGTTTTTGATTGCACTAACTCTACTTGTTCCATTTTGATTAACACGTTCCTTAACACTTGTGCAATAGGGCTAATTGTAACAACAGAAATCATGATTGTGTGAAATATGACTCCATATCTTATATGTACAGATAAATGTTAAGTTTAATTTTTAACAATTCCTCATAAATTGTGTAACTATTCTATCTAACCTTTTTAAATATGTAAGTGATCATTTTATAACCCAGTTGAGATAAATGTATCTTAGATCATTTAAAAATATCTTTCAAGATTATTTATATAAAAATTAGGTAAATTCTTATTTGTTTTATGTAACTTCAACAGATTTATTCAGAAATATTCTGTGTAGTCCAAGTAACTTACTTAACAAGTAGAGATCATTTGTATGCAGTTTCAGTAACTGGCTTAAACAGCCCAGCTTGGACAGCAGATAACAATCAGTTAGTATCAGTTACTACGTGTGTCAGACTCTCAACGAGTTTAACGTAATGTTATTACGTAGAAACTGCCCTAGCTATTTCAACAATGTTTGTGTTTCCTATTTAACATATCGTTATTGCCTAGAAACTGCCTAGTTATTTCAACAATTGTTATGTTCCCTATTTAACATGTTGTTATTGAGCTATTTCAACAGTTATGTTCTCTATTTAACATGTTGTTATTGAGCTATTTCAACAGTTATGTTCTCTATTCAATGTGTTGTTTTTGCCTGAAAACTGTCCTAGCTAACAATTCTTGTATTAACTATTTAACGTGTTGTTATTGTCTAGAAATTGCCCCAGCAGTTTGGACAATTATTGTGTTCCCTCTCGTACCATTTAGCTTGGCATTTTTTATGTTGCTGAATAGATATTTATTTGCAATAATGGTATTGTTATGATCATTGGTTAGGAAGATGAAATTATGTTGTCTCTCACATATGTATAGCAGGGCTATTCTACTAATTTTACTCAAGGACCAAAACTTTGAAAATGGGGATCATCACGGGCCAGAGCCCCAACATAGAAAGATCATGCATACAGTACAATTGGAAGTAATCCGTGGGCCACTTGCTAGGCCTCAGCGGGCCAAATCCAGCCTGCAGGCCACCAGTTCGATAACTGTGGCAAAACATAAAGCACACATGACTGCCATGTATATACACACACATACTTGGTCTGTATCCCCCTCATTCATATTTTGTCTTTGCTTCTCCCAGTCGGTCTACTCTCTCTGTCACGTGGGTGGGGAAGGGGGGGTTGAAAATGTATTTGTCAAGAGTTTAAGTTACATAGAATTTTAGAAAAGCTTAGTGGGACATGGGTTAAAACAAAAGGTTGGGAGACACTGGCCTGTGTCATTTTTTTCTGCTGTTATACTTTAACTCTCACATTCAGTATGTCTCTCTCACATCTAGTCCCATGTTTTCCTCTCTCTCTCTCTCTCTCTCTCTCTCTCTCTCTCTCTCTCTCTGACAGTCATGTCTCTCTCACATTCAATCCATGTCCCATGTCTTTTTCTCTGTGTGTGTGTGTGTGTGTGTCTCTCTCTAGAATTCTTAGTGTTTCTCTCATTTTGTCTCACTCTCATTTCTCTACTTCTGTCACATTAATTCTTTCCTTGTCATCTTCTGTGACACATTCTAATTTTCTCTCTCACATTCTCTCAGTCTCCTTCACTTCATATTTCTCTATGACCCTGCCATAGACACACAAATAAAAATGCATACTTTGATATTTTGCAATTCAGCATAATTTGTTGTATAATTCTTCTACCTATTATGAGACTTATGTTAAACGTTGTTTATGTTTTGGAAATTTTAAAATAGGGTTTATGCATTTGTGAATTAAATAGAATTTGATAAATTGTGCCTTGCTTAAAAGAATATTAGTAGGTTGAAATGGTGTAAGTAATATGGGATATGCCAGAGAGGTAGTCTTAACTGCCAGAAATGAACTGCAATTGCAAAAAATTTTGGATGTGATTTTAACAAAGAGTCAAAATAAAGGTCTTAATCTAAACAGCAGAAAAATTGAAGTAATGCTAATTGTTACACTGAAAGAAACATGTCTATTGTAATACAACAATGGGAACAATGAACAGAATTTAAATAGTTGCCTGGTAAACATTTCAGTATTTACATATTATCATCATGTGACCAGATTTTGAATTCACTTCCTAAAATATATAAAGAACCTAATAGTTTATGCTGTGACACTTCGCTTTTTTTTATGTGTACTGCCAGTGCTTGATTTCCCTTTGTTGTAGGTGTTCTGTGTTTTATTTTGGTTTGGTTTTGGCTTCTGTTATTTTTTATTTTGCAGAAACCTGCAATGCCCTCCCCCCACCTCCTGCTGATGATGATTTCCCTGAGCCTTTTATGGGCCGTGAAGGTGTGCAGATTTTTTCAACACTGCATGCCTTTTTTTAGATTAAAACTTCTTGCACCCTGTTGATATCATTGTTATAATGTTTAATGGCTTTGTTTGTGCAGTAGAAATATTAATGCTTCTTAACTATTGCTTCATAAAATCTTTTTTTGTTTGCAGTGTCTTGATTTCTGTATTTTGAAATGTTTGTATTTAACATGGAAATGATATTTGGGGGAATGTATTTGTGGTCATAGTCGAGGTTTCAACTTCACTGCAATCGGACCACCCCATACTTGTGTAGTACAGCTGTCTTCTTTGTGCACTTTGATGTCACACCCGTCTTTTTTGCTACAGGAGGAGTCAGTTGGAAGGGTATAAGAAGAAAGATGGTTGTGTTGATAGTGTAGATGATGATGATGTCTTGCTATTTGTGTGCTTCTCACATCACTCTGATTCTTGTATAATAAAATGTCAAAAAACAACTATTCCTTTTCTATACTGTCTTTATTGTTATACCTCAGCAATGTCTTGTGGGATTTTCTAATTGTGTTTGGATTGCATCAGATAGTCTACACCAAAATATACTAATTAGATGGACAGCTATCCTTTTATGGCCTTCCAGAAAGCCAGTACGATAAGGCTTTCGTTCTTTGATATGGCACGTCAACAATTGCATCGAAGGCTATTTATATATCTAGGTTGTTCATTTGCACATAACTGTGCTAATAAACAAATGATGGTTCTAGAAAGGGAATGTCACGGTTGCCAAAACCTGTTGTTTTCGGTCCCTTCATCTACTACGCAATATCCTACCTCCTGACAAACAGTGATGACGTCTCCCTGCTCCGTTTCTGTGCCAGTGAAAATCAGATGAAGTGTCCCTCACTGCCCCGTTTCGAAGAGAAAAAAACTGGTGGACATTTAGACCCCGCGCAGTCTAGAAATATGTGCACGCAGTAAATGCATATGGCGGTTACTAGAGGTGCCAGAGCCAACAGTCACAACCAGAGATCCAGTTTTGTCATTGATGGAAGTAGTTGGTCATGATAAGTTGGCCATATTCATGCAAAATCATTACATATGGTATTTCATCAGCCCACATGTAAACTGGCTACCCACCATATTGAATAACTGATGTTAGTCATGTCATGTATTTAGAGGAAATATAGGTAATTAGAAATTTGCAAAGATGATTGGATTGTGTAAGTGGTTAGAGAGATAGTGGGAAGATATGTGCATAGAATGAAATGCTCAGACTGTCTTGTGAAAGGGTTGAAAAAATGGATGGTAGGGTTGATCGAACAAACAGTTGTGAAAGGGTTACAAATTGGGCATGCAGACCTGTCTTACATTCAACCCTGTCTTACATTCAGCCCTTCCAAGCACTCATCTTTCAGACCCCAATTGTATGTTATCATTAATGCATGTCATGTTTATATAAAAATATTCATAATGAAATATTGCATTCACACGTCATGTATACAATCATACATACTCTGAATATACACATACACTCTTATATGCACATAATACACAGACAACAAGCACACCCATACATATGCATACAAACACTCTCATAATCACCCTCATACAAATACATACATGCACTCATGCTCTTACACATACAAGCACTCACACTCTTGTACACATACAAGCACTGTTTACGAGGGATATAGCAGGAGTAGCTATAAGTAAGACATCATCATCATCATCATCAATTTCCACTTCTGCTGTTGGGTGTTGTGGGGAGGTACAGCTTGCAATCAACTGCTTGATGGGCAGCAGTGGCTTTTGTCTTTCTGTGTCGATGTAGAAGCTCTTTAATGTCATCAATCCATCTTCTCCTAGGGCCGCCTCTTGCTTTCACTTCCGATCTTTTCTTGTGTAGTGCCTGCATTGGTAGTTGCTCTGACTGCATTCTTACTAGATGACCAAACCATTTGAGCATTTTTTTCTCAGTGAATGTTGCCTGGTGTTGTTCCTACTCCTACAGTTGTCTGACAGTATCATTTCTTTGCCTTGAATAGTTAAGTTGGCGGCTTTTTTTCTCAGGAATCTCATTCAACAGGTGTTAATTTTACATAGGTTAGTCTTTGATAATGACCAAATCTGGCACTGGTAGCACAGTGTTGGTATGAAAATGCTGTTTATTATCTATTTCTTGACACTCTTGTTTATGTTTGGATGTCTTAATAACGGCGTCGGTTGGTCTAGGAGTGCACTGACTCATTGGCGTCTTGTTGATTTTTCCAGATCTATTCTCCCGTCCTCCGAGAATATACTTTCTAGATATTTAAATTCTTTTAACTTGCTTAGTGAGTCAGTAAAGTAAATGACCCTTTTCAGTGCCTAGGCATATTGGGCATATAGCGCTAGACCTATATTTTAAAGACCAGTCGACACTTGGTGGGTGATATGGTCAGCATCTCGCCTTTTAGTAGGTATGATGATACCAAAGTCAGTTAGTGCAGAATTCAGTATTTTAGAAGATAAGCCGAATGGTGATATAGCAAGTAAGACGGTTAGGCAGATAGAAAGGTGAGTGGTCACAGTGTGATGTAGCTAACTATAGAGGTGATTATGTTAGTGGGGTAACTGATGATTGGGGGGGTCCTTGATTCTCTTAAAATGTTATTCATTATTGCCAGCGTTTTTGCCATATGTACTTGTAAATGCATGCAAGCAAGTCAGTTTTTAGCACCATACTCCCAATATTTGTGTCTGTCACTCTCTGTATCCACCAGTCTTTCAGTCTGTATGTCTAACCTATCCTCCTGTCTAACCTATCCTCCTGTCTAACCTATCCTCCTGTCTAACCTATCCTCCTATCTAACCTATCCTCCTATCTAACCTATCCTCCTGTCTAACCTATCCTCCTATCTAACCTATCCTCCTGTCTAACCTATCCTCCTATCTAACCTATCCTCCTATCTAACCTATCCTCCTGTCTAACCTATCCTCCTATCTAACCTATCCTCCTATCTAACCTAGCCTCCTGTGTGCAGGTGGCACACAATGATATTTATTTATTATTCATGTCCAGTTCTTGCATGTGATAGTTGATACTTTTGCCTAGCCTTGACTTTTCACCAGAGCATTAACCTTGTTAGTCGAGAAAAAGAATTATAGAGGAAAGGGTAGGGCTGGCCATTAAACACAGGCAGTTCTCCCCACCCCTCCCTAAGGGCCGAATGTAAGACGGGCCTGCGTGCCCAATTTGTGACCCTTTGACAATAAAGTTTGTTCGTTCGTTCCCTTTTGTTTTTTAAAGACAAAAAAGAAGAAGAAATATAAATTGTAAGTGAGTGGAATACCATTGGGTAAGCTTAAGCTGTACAAGAAGGCAACGTTTTGAATGGCTTGGCACTAGTTAGTTGAGGGCATGTGCTCCATTGGGAGATAAAGAGCAGAAAAAAAGGCACTTCCACAGCTCTAAACATAATATTGATATTTATGGTAATTGGAAGAAAAAAAATTATGTATGCATTAATCAAATAAAATGTACACATTTAAGCCAGGACAAAACAAAACAGTTTAGTAGAAGTTGTTCAATCAATTTACACTTAGAACTGTCAGCTTCATGTACTGAGCCAATCTTCAACAGTTAATCTTCTTCTTCGCGTTCACCAGCTGTACACTCTGGCGTAAAGTTCTGGTTGTTTGTCCACTTCTGGACTGCAGTCCTGCTCCACAACCTGAGTGTAGCGTGTGCATCAGTTTACAGATCTAATTCAATTGAATGCAGACTGCTGGTTCCTTGCCTCTCAGGCAGATGTACTCCGACTTCAAAGGAAGCTCCCCAGTTAGTCGACTCTTACGACATGCTTTTGGGGAGGCTGTGGGTCTATTCTTGTTTTCCCTACAATAATGTCCAGGAACCCACACGGGGGTCCAACAGTTAACGCCCTTGTCACATTTGATTGACAGGTTCTCCACAGCCTCCACCACCTCCCTCGGATGACCATCCTCAGTTTGATCACCTAGGGGCGCCTCCTCCTCCACAAGAGTTTGTGGATCGACGGCAAGGACCTCCAAGTACAAGGGAGGGAAGAATGATTGGCAATGTTCCGGAAGATCTCTATGGTACTGCACATGGTTTAGATGACCCTTATGCAGCCACGGGTCCACAGTTGCTGTCGCAACCCTCGTGGATCCCCAAACACTATCTAGAGAAAGGTGAGTCAGTGTATGTTTATGAGTTGAATGTTGAATTAATAATCGACATCATAGCACGCAGGACACTCCTATAAGCGCTCCGTCCTTATCTTCGGCAGCAAGCAAGTTCCTATGGCACCAGTAAGTTTATAATTGTGTATCTGACTCATCTTTCGCTTTAGTGTTCAGCGTTGGCCAGATCCCCTGGTAATACATCGCTGCGCCGTTCTCCTCGGACCATAATGATCTGTCTGTGCCACCACACTGTTCACTCGCTCTCAAAGATCCCTCAAGACATCTAACTTGTCATACATTTGTTGACTTCTGCAGCACCAGCTGGCCAGTCCCAGCACTCACGACCTCAACTGGGAAGAATGTTTGTCAGTAAAATAAACAAATGTAGGATCACAATTCCTGGAGTCTGCGGGCTCCCTGTTTTGGGTTCAGATTCCTTCTAAGTGGGTTTTGGTTGTTATGACCTAATTATATATCTTTGGCAGCCACAGTGGGTAGATGTTTGCTTGTGGGGTCGAAGGTCTTCAGTTCGAATCCTCATCTGGTCAGATTTTTTTTTATGCTCTTGCCTCCCAGATCGACGCAGCCTAAAGTGGGTACCAAATAAAGTCCTGGGAAGTAAAGGCAGTTGGCTGGATGTTGACCTCATGACCCACCCAGGACTCATCAAAAATGGGTCTAGCATCATATGCCTGATGTACTCATCATCATCATCATCCCGTTACACTACCATGTTTCTGTTGACTGTCTGATCAGCTTTCTCCACCTTTGGCGACGAACATCATGGTTGCTTGCCTGAGGCCTGTCCAGTCAGTCAGGTTCTGTAACCAGGTCTTTCTTGGTCTGCCTCTTCTCCTCTTTCCCTCTACTGAGCCCTGCAGTATTGTTTTCAAGTGGCCATTAGATCTTATTACATGTCTATAACATTGCATTGTTTGAATTTTCACTGTAGTTAAAAGAGGTTCATAGTTGCCAGTGTGCAGTATAAGTTTATGGCCAACTTCTTCGTTTGTATTGTGGTTTCTGTAGGATATGCCAAGCATTTTTCTGAAACATTGCATTTCTAATGCTTGTATCTTTCTTTTGAGTTCAGCTGTTAAGCTTGACGTTTCACAGCCATATGTAAATGTACTAATTGCTAGTGCTCTAAGCAATCGAATGTGCACTGGCTTGAAAGGAATCCTCCACTGACATATCTCTAGAATCCATCCTGTCACATGACAGGAATAGACAAGTTCTCACATTAACATATCTCTAGAATCCATCCCGTCACATGACAGGAATAGACAAGTTCTCACATTAACATATCTCTAGAATCCATCCCGTCACATGACAGGAATAGACAAGTTCTCACATTAACATATCTCTACAATCCATCCCGTCACATGACAGGAATAGACAAGTTCTCACATTAACATATCTCTAGAATCCATCCCGTCACATGACAGGAATAGACAAGTTCTCACATTAACATATCTCTAGAATCCATCCCGTCACATGACAGGAATAGACAAGTTCTCACATTAACATATCTCTAGAATCCATCCCGTCACATGACAGGAATAGACAAGTTCTCACATTAACATATCTCTAGAATCCATCCCGTCACATGACAGGAGTAGATATGTTCGCACATTAACATATCTCTAGAATCCATCCCGTCACATGACAGGAATAGACAAGTTCTCACATTAACATATCTCTAGAATCCATCCCGTCACATGACAGGAGTAGACATGTTCTCACTGGTCTCGCACTGACATATCTCTAGAATCCTCCCGTCACATGACAGGAGTACCAGATATGTTCTCACACTGACATATCTCTAGAATCCATCCCGTCACATGACAGGAATAGACAAGTTCTCACATTAACATATCTCTAGAATCCATCCCGTCACATGACAGGAGTAGACATGTTCTCACTGGTCTCGCACTGACATATCTCTAGAATCTATCCATGACAGGAGTACCAGGATATGTTCTCACACTGACATATCTCTAGAATCTATCCATGACAGGAGTACCAGGACATGTTCTCACACTGACATATCTCTAGAATCTGTCCATGACAGGAGTACCAGGACATGTTCTCACTGGTCTCACACTGACATATCTCTAGAATCTGTCCATGACAGGAGTACCAGGACATGTTCTCACACTGACATATCTCTAGAATCTGTACATGACAGGAGTACCAGGACATGTTGTCACTCTGACATATCTCTAGAATCTGTCCATGACAGGCGTACCAGGACATGTTCTCACACTGACATATCTCTAGAATCTGTCCATGACAGGAGTACCAGGACATGTTCTCACACTGACATATCTCTAGAATCTGTCCATGACAGGAGTACCAGGACATCTTGTCACTGTTCAGACAGCGACCATCATAGTGACATTACCTGCCTGGTTTGGTCAGAAAATATGTGTGGCCTTCTTAGATGGTGGCAGAATAAATTAGGTTAATTTCTGTGCAGATAATAAATCTCTTGACCTTCTTATTGTTGCTACAGAGTTTGTTCACTGTGCTGAGTTGCTCCTAGTGTAGTACATTGATCGCAAGTATCAATGTTCATTACTCTATGAAAATGATTTACAGCCAAATCAAATTAATTGTTTTTTTTTTTTTTTTCAATTTTCTTTCAGTGGTAGCCATCTATGACTATCAGGCCAACAAGACGGATGAGTTGTCATTCGCTGAAAACGCCGTCATATATGTCATCCACAAGAACGATGATGGCTGGTGGGAAGGGGTCATGGACGGCCAGACAGGACTGTTCCCGTATAATTATGTTGAGCCATGTATGTGAATATTTCATTATAACTTAGGGACATGTAAAACTGGGTCTGGGTAATCCAGATGACAGGAGCTGTGTGTAAATATTGTTTCAGCCCTGGATAGTTAGGTAATATAATAAGCATATGGATCATAGAAAAGATCAAATAATTATCGGGAGCAGGTTAAAGTGACAGCTGGCAATGGAGGGGATTAAATTAGCAGATTTTAGACACACAATGGATTAAATTAAAAGCTTGGTTCGTAGTTTAATGTCGGAGTTGACAAGGTCAGGAGTGACAGTAAAAAAAAAAAAAAGCAGGATTTATATAGCCACTGTTGGGGCTCAGCGAGTTAGAGTATTAGCTAGAACAGAGAGAATGACTCAGGTCAGTAGCTGAACAACATGAGTTAATGTCACAACTTTAACAGAAGGGGTTAAAGTCACAACCAGAATATAGCGAATTCATGTGACATTTGTCTAGTCCCCCAGCCACCCACACACACACACCCAGCCACCCACACACACCAGGTGCTGCCTGATTCACTCTGTGGTTTCCTCCTCTCGTTTAATGCAGTTCATCTGCAGAGATGATTGCAGTTGAGGCATGTGTTTTCTGGCCTGTGCTAATGAAGATCAGTTTTGATACAGGCAAGAGCTTTGGAGATGCTTTTATGGTGATGCTTTCCCAGTTTTTGCAATGTACATTCAGTGTTTTTAAGACAGTGATGCAATTAACGTGAACTTGGATCATGCTTATTTTTAACTCGTCCTTTGCAACATTTTATGAGTACTGAACAGTTTCCAGCTGATGTCTAAGAACAGTTTCCTGTTTGTCATTACACCACATGAACATACCACTTGACACTGATCTCAGTTAGTAGCTTTCAGCACAGGTTGTATAAGTGAACAGAAAAAATGAAATCCTTTGCAATTGTTTTATACAAGCATATTGTTATATTTTGTTTTACTTCACATCTAATATTATATTGAGATAGATTTTTGAAACAAGAGATAAGTGACTCAGGTGATGTTCATATAGCCGTGTCCAGGTGAACATGCCACTGCTCAAATTTCCACTTGTTCTAGCAGTGGCACATTTAGCAAACACAGGCCTGTCCAAGTCATTGTGACTGTTCAGTAGTCCAGTTTCTGTCACCATCTCTGTTTTATTTGACTGGTTGAGCAAACTTACTAACTAACTAACACACTCTCTCTCTCTCTCTCTGTCTCACTGACTGACTGACTGACTCACTCACTCACTCACTCATTCTCTCACTCACTCTCACTCACTCACGCGCAGCAAACTTTCTAGTTGATGTCGAGACTTTAGTCAGCTCCATCTAGTAGGTTTTCTCTGCCACAATTCTTTGATATTTACAATAATTTATTGCAATAAACCTCACCAAAAAAGACGAAGCTGAAGGGACCTTCACAAACCCAACCAGTAACCATTTTTTTCTTGTTCTGAGGCACTAGTCAGTGCCAGTAAGTGGGTCAATGCCTGTAAGTGGGTCAGTGCCTGTATGTGGGTTGTATTGCAACTTCAACAGTAATTTTTGTGTGTCAATACTTTAACCTTGATGCTTTTTTTTTTTTAAGGAAACCCACACATTTGTCTGAACCCACATCTCAGTGGTGGTGGGTTCAAGGCAGGTCTGCCATGTTTGCCAAAAACTGATACTCTGCCATAGTGGATCATAGGACCAGCTTGCCACATTCATCGGAATCATTTTCCTGCTCTCTCAAGTGACCAGCTGTGTGCTTGATGCTTCACAAACATGACTGATTTTAATGTTATTTTAGAAGTCCATGTCATATATTTTAGTTCTTGGATTGTTTTGTTACAAATCTGACAGGTTTAGTTGTAAATTCATTATTATAAATGAGGAATACTATATGAATATTTTATATGTTATTATGTGGTATAATATCTGTATATTTTCCTGTGTGCATTTCACACCGCTTTTATGAACAGTTTATAAGCCCTTCGGCAACATAGTCATGAGATCTTAGATTCATATTTTTAGTGAGCAGCTGACACATGAAAGGCAATTTGATCAGACCCTGTATACTGCAAGTTGTCTTGGTTCTATCCCAATAATTTACTCTAATCACGGGAAATCCAAAGGTGACGGGTATAGTGTAATATATCAGGGGTGGTATAATGGAGCCTATAGTTACTAATTTGGCATTTCATTTGCCATGCAGTTTTTTGCTATATCAGGTTTGTGAGCTTTTTTTTTTTTTGTGTGTACATTTTTTGGTGTGTTGGTGCAGTCAGGAGGATACAGTTTTTGTGGTTGTTTTCTTGTTGTTGTTTGTTGTGTGCTGGGGAGGAGGACCCATACAGTTATGGGACCTAAGCTACACTCTCTCGTGGGACATAGGTGGGTTGGGGTAAGGGTTAGTTGTACATGTTTTGGGGTCGTTAACAGCGCTCACATCGTGGAATATCGAATACTATATCGTGGGCGACTTTTTTTTAAACTGTTTAGTCAGGATAAATTGCGAATTGGGGTATGTGGGGCAGACCCTAAAAAGGGCCAATCAGTCTAGATGTAAACTGCTGGGTTCATGCACGAATTGTTAATCAGAAAAATTTGACACATTAGTAGATCTGGAGAGAGGTCGAACGGCGGCGGCGGTAGCAGAAGAGACGACAGACTATTGTTCTGATGGCTAAAATGCAACGTCTGTCATAATGGTCGCAAACACGTCGCTACCCACATATTGCAGGGAAGCAACGCTGCTCTCCATGTCAGGCATCAATGCTGCTGATTCCCGGAAATTCATGGCGATGAAGACTGAACAGAAGTCGCTGGAGAGATGCCGCTGGAAGACGAAACGCGTTAAAACCTGGGCAACACCTTGGAAGACACACAGAAAGACATCCGCTGTTACCACTGTGGAAAATTTGAACTGTCCTATGATGTCATTTGGGGTAAATTATTGGAATAGAAGCATTATCTCTACAAAATTAAGGCTGCTAGAACAGATTTGTGCACTGAACAGATTGAGAACATATTCATCAAATCTGTGCTCTGGCGACGTGAGAACTGAGATCTGACTCCAGGTAACCAAAGTTGGAGATAAACCCCTGGCACAGGCTGTGATGGCTGTCAGCCGACGACTGAATTGGTAAAGGTATTCTGAGCTGAAACCTTGTCTGTTGAAAGATTACCCCAGTTGATGTATGAGGAAGCAGAGAATCACTAGCTGCCATCATGCAGCTATAACCTGGTATATGAAGAATCCCAGATTTGTCCTCCCATCTGTTTTACTTTCACCTGGATGTTTTAGTAGTAATGATGCCTTCACCATCGTACACATCTGCCCCTGAAGCTTTCTGATTATTCCATTCCAGTGTCTGTCTGGTGCATTCTTGTCGTTTCCTGCCTGTCTGTGCATTTATACACGGTCTGGTTCCACGCCTTTCTTCATTTGTCTGCCTACCAGTACTCTCTTTGGTGTTTCATACATGTATGCACATCCTTGGTCGACCTCTTACTCCAGTTGTCTGCATACTAGTACTCTCTTTGGTGTTTCCAACCTGTCTCTGCATTTATACAGACCCTTGGTCCAGCCCTTTCTCCAGTTTTCTGCCTACCAGTACTCTCTTTGGTGTCTCATCATGTCTTATTTCAGCCAAGCTACAAGTCTGCACTCTGTTCTTCAACCCTCTGGAGACTGAGCCTTTTTGGAGTTTCAGTGCCAAAAAAGACAAAACCTTCAGGAGGGGAATCTCATAATTTATACACAACAAATTATAATAAATAAAGCATTAAATTAACATATACAAATTAAGTATTCTGATTTGCATAATTTATGCAAACATTTTTTAAAACTTGGGAACAAACATGACTAACCTAAATATTTTGGGTAAATTTTGTTATGCGTGAAGCTTGAATGAGTCCTAACTCTTGTGTATGAGAAGTAAGGCCCTTCAGACACTTCTAGCACATGGTTCTACTCATTTTCCTGCCTCCAGCTGTTTCAATTGCTGTAACACAACAGTCCTTTTCGCCACTGTTGGGTACTGGTAATCTCAGAACTTTCTCAAAAGATGTAAATACACAGCCCACATTTGCAAGAAAACATCCAAGCACTGTTAATCTATAATTAAATGCATGTGTTATCATATTGATTGGATTTGTAAGAGTAGATACACACACAGGCCATGAAAACACAAACGTCCTTGGCTATTTATTTGGTCAGTGTTTTTATCAAATATTTTATTTATAATAAAACTGAAAAAGATGTGAGTATAAAGGATTACAAGTCAAGAGTCACTCAGTTTCAGAATTGCTGGCCGGTCACCCTGCTAGAAACCTGGCTAGTTTGACAACCATTGCTGTAGAAGTTCATATTTAACTATCTGTGAGGGCCGTAAATTGGGCAGCTCTTCTCTGAACAAAATTAGTAGTAGATATTGTGATTGTTGGTAATGTACTTATTTTACGATTAGGGTTTTTTTTTTTTTTTTAATGCTGCAAGATGTCTTTCTTGGATGCAGTTTTGTTGGGGTTGCAATTTGTGTGTTTTTCTGTTACAAGCATTTATTTATTTTTGTTGTTGCAAGCATGTATTTATGTTTTGTTGTTTGCAAGCATTTATTTATGTTTTGTTGTTGCAAGCATTTATTTATGTTTTGTTGTTTGCAAGCATTTATTTATGTTTTGTTGTTTGCAAGCATTTATTTATGTTTTGTTGTTTGCAAGCATTTATTTATGTTTTGTTGTTTGCAAGCATTTATTTATGTTTTGTTGTTTGCAAGCATTTATTTATGTTTTGTTGTTGCAAGCATTTATTTATGTTTTGTTGCTTATTTTATGTGCAGATCATTCAACGCTAAGCACAACATTGATACATGCTACCAGTTTGTTACATTATTTATTTTAGTCTTCCCTGCAGAAATTATCAGCACATTGCAAATATATGCATGTCCTATTTTTTTCCTCATTGTAAATTGAGCATTATCAAATGTTTTTTTTTTTTCAAAAATATGCAATCTGTCGTGATCCTTGTTTTGC